GATCGAATTTTACGTAATCCATGATCGAATTTTATGTAATCCATGATTGAATTTTTTGAAAATTTGTGATTTTTTTTTTTAATCCATGATCGAATTTTTTTTTGTAATCCATGATAGAATTTTTTGAAAATTTGTGATTTTTTTTTAATCCATGATCGATTTTTTTGAAAATTTGTTATTTTTTCTTTTAATCCATGTTATTCAAAGAGAAAATGAGAGAGATGATGATTCTGAGGCCACCCTATCCCAGCCATATTATTCACATATCGAGTCCCAACAGCAACAGTGTAGGGATGAGCACGAAATACTGTAAATTAAATGCTGAATGGCGGTTCATGCAGGGAAAGAACATATCAATATTCGCATATTCATTCAAAAACATGAAAATTCTTAATGGAGTACCCTCATTTTTTATTGAATTCTTAAAAAGCAATATTTATAATGAATTTTAATAATTTTTTCGAAATTTTTTTAAGCTTTATTCTGACCGATTCACCCGATTCCCGATCCGGATCGCCGATTCGTCGATCCGGATCGGTTTTTTGGAAGCCCGATCCGGGTCACCGATCCGTTTTTTAAACCATTGCATTGAAATAATATGATTGGAATAACATGTTTTTATTATGATAAATATTATTTTTATTTATTTTTTATAGAAGTCTTTCAAATGTCTATCTATATAATTTCAAATAAACAATAAATTTATGATACCAAATTAAAAACATTTATGGTACAAGTTAAAAAATGGGGAAAGTTTATGTTGGATGTGTCTTCAAATAATTTCAATTGAGCTTTTACTAATCTCATATGGGGATTATGTTGGGTGAAATTTTGTGTTGTGTAATTTCTTACGTTGGGTGAAATTTTTTATTATAATTGTGATGTGTAATTTCTCATTGATAGGGAGAATGGAAAAAGTACATATGAGAGAGGAAGGGGCTTAAATATAAAAAGGGCTTTAAAAAAATAAAATAAAGATGAGAAGAAAGGCCCTTAAAAGAGATAGAGCACCTTATGCAAACTACTTATTAGGGTTCAAGAGAGAGGTGACGTGTTTAGAGAGAGGAAACCGATTAGGATTCAAGAGAGAGGTGACGTGCTTAGAGAGAGGAAACCGATTAAGTGAGTTGGCATTTTATTAAGCTGAGATAGAGTGGCACGCGAAAAATTTCTAAAGATTACCCGTGTATAATAGATTTTTCACCTTTCACCACCCGTCTTCCCCCATTTCGTTAGTATAAAGTGTACCCAAACGGTGGAAATTCATATTTTCTCGTAATCAATTATCATGTAATAGATTTCCAGATACCCAAACGGCCCTTAGAGTTCAATAATTGGCAAAATTTTCACTCCCACAATTATTTATCATGTCTAATAGGTTACTAATAATGGTTTTTATAACAAAAAGATTCATGCAATGTCTTTTTGCTTTAAGACATGCAGTCCTTTACCTGAAGAACAATTGTTTCATGCGAGCTAGACTGCATTTCTACAATATACGGTCCAGAGGTATAGAGCATTCATCTTAATGATGGATGCAAATAGGTGGTCTATCTAAAAACAATTGTAACTAATAGTCCGAATATTTTCTTCATATAATTATTATTTCTAGTTTTCAAATTTATTTATTCGTCCATTCATGATTTTCTTGTTAAAGATTATATATTTCTCTACAAAATTAGGATCAAAATATATTTAAAAATATATTTATTGCCAAATCCATATGCAGGCTGGCCGCATGAAAACCGCGTCCTTACCTGGAACTCAGTAGAAACTCATGTATTTATGTTTAAACTTTAATGCTTTCATAGCTGCCTTTCGTACCATTTTTAGATGTCTCATTGAAATGGGTCATTTCTGGTCTTATTGTTAATGATTAGAGTCCCACTTGTTGATAGGTGAGTAAAAAATAACTGCAGCATGAGCAATGTTATATTTGTGAAGAAAACTGATTATTATGAAAGAGAGCATATTTACAAACCTGTAATTATAAAAATATTGTGTTGCCTATTATCTTGAACAGCTTCTCTCTCTCTCTCGTCCCCCCTCGCTCTCTCTTATTTTGTTGGACCAAAACAAACCACGAAAGTAATATTAGTTCAACATAATCAAGGCAAGTTTGTTTTGGAGGTAGAAAAAACCCAAGCATAACCATCAATGATAGTCAGGAAAGAAGTAAGACATGGATTAGGTTTAAAAAGAATACATCATTCATTAGGAGATTGCTAAGGTTTTGCATCTTTTTAGTACAACAATGACCTCAAAAATCCTCTAGTGGAGAGTTTTGGCGAGAACCGTCGAACTTATCATCTCGACCATGAGATGCATGAACTTGAAGAAAAACATATTTCCAAATCCAAAACATAGTATATCTTATACAAGTTATTTGGACTGTCTATTTTCAAGATTTTCAGATTTTCAAGTAACTCTTGATCCCCACAATCTACACTATTTTTAAAATTTGGAATTCTATAACCGAGAATAAAAAGAGATCTTGAAGTGGCATCTCTAAGTAAATTTTATTGGTGCACCATACTATAATATAAGGAGGCAACCTTATACCAACCTCACCCTTGAAATAATTATGCTTTAATGGGAACAGAATTTGATTTTGCCACCTACACTGTTGGCTGAAATGTTTGGAAAGTCGGTAGCTGAATCTGCCCAATTCCGGAGCATCTTAGGGCTTGTTTGACAACTACAAGCTAAAACCTCGAAGTTGCTTTTTTCCCTCTGAAGCTGGATGTTCTAGCAAACTTTTTAACAAATTTTCAAACAAATACGTTGTTTATATTCCTAATAAAAAACTGGGCTTCTTGATGATACTGGCATAGAAAAGAACACGAAGAGAGAGAGAGAGAGGACGGGTAGGAGAAAATAACAGGAAAACCACAAACGCAAATTTTCACCATGCATGGGAACAATAGAAAATAACAGTGAGAGAGAGAGAGGGAGAGACAGAAAAGAGAGAGAGAGGGAGAGAGAGAAAGAGAGAGAGAGAACGTC